AATCAATAAAAAATAAATTATTTTATGAGTGGATTTATTACACATAACTGAAAACGAATGAACACGTTAACTCGGAGTATTTTCAAAAAGCAACTTTTCAAAAATCAACAATTATTATATTTGAACCAGTTTCCGTAGGATTTTAATGGTTTAGTATGTTTATTAAGACCAGGTACTATATTGTTATACCAAGTAAATCGTCTAATTTTAATTTTAGCTAACGTCAAAAAACTACTCATTTTCTCAAACGTTGATGAATTTTTAAAATTAAACTACTTGCCATAAGGCCGTAATATTACAGTAAGTTCTAATATCGCCAAAAAAAAGTTCCATAAAAATCGGCATAATTTTTTTTTTTTTTCAACAGTTAATTACAAGAAAACGACTCAGTAGATTTTTACCTAAAATTAATCAGTATCATTCCCAACTAATATCTTTCGAACAGTTTTTGATTTTTTAAAATCGGTTCGGCAGGATCAGCTTAAATGTGGACGAAAAGTTTAACACTTTTTCAAATTACAAAGAAACGGTTATTCGAGATACATCGAATGGCTTTTAAATTTTTGAAATCGGTCCAGGCGTTTTTGAGAAAACGTCGATTTACGGCAAAAAATCTGTTCACACACACACACATACACACACACATACAAACACACACACATACTTTTTCCAAATTTGATCTCATTCTATTCAGAATGGCTAGAAACGTCGAGAAAACATAAAATTAGCAAATCGGATTTTTTGATGAAAACATAAACTTCTCCTTCGGGAAGTTAATAAAATTTTCAAGTATTTTACCATTTTACAATCCTGATTAAATGCGCCACCTTTTGGAAATTGCCAATACACTTTAGTACATTTTTTACAGAAACTTTTCTCAAAGTCGACCGATTTTAAACACATTAAAATCATAGTTCAACATTGTGTCTTAATTCTTGAAAACTAGAGGAAATTGTGTTAATATTTCTGATATAACCAAAACTATATCCAATTATTTCACCAAAGCTCTATGTTGCACTTAAAAGCTCGTAACATCCAAATAACGTGAGATAATTTTATTTTTTTTTGTTTTTCGGGACAGTTAAGGTCAATACTATCACCCCGTTTCGGCTTGACGTCAAAGTCTGGTACACCCTGTATATATATAGGTTGATTTCTTGTGACATCATTTAAAAGAGTTGTAAATTAATATTGTTTTGTGACTAAGCATAAAAGTGCTTTATTCGAATCATTCATGGCAGATCGTGTATATCGATGGTCTTAACGAATCGACAATCGGGCCAAGGTGCAGCAATTGCTAAATCACTAACTAATGTCAATTATCACTTGTAAATATTACAGAATGTAGACAGAGCACACGCACTGCGTCGCAAAAAGTGAGAAAGGTAATTGAAAACACAATAAGACGAGTTAAGTGAGCGTGAGTTAAGTGCTTATGTTTTTTGTGTCAGTTAACTAAGCGGATAAAAAATACGCAATTCATTTAAATTTAAAATATGTGCGTGAGATTTTTCGTCAAGCTTTTTATGCGGCAACATATGTGACGAAACATTTTTTATGTCACATCGGTGTTAAATACTAAAATATGGAATAAACTTAACTAAAAATGCATAAAATATTACATGAATGAAATATGGTTCATATACATATATAAACCTATATAAATGACTATGCTATCTGACTATGTTTAGTAAAACACCTAGCTAATTTATCATAGCAGAATTCGTTTTGCTGTTTTTCAAAATTTGTCGTCTGATTCTTTTTACCCTATAGGCTTGGTACAGCCAAGGCCCAAATATGTCCAATGACTTATTCTTAATTTCAAAGGGATTTTACGAAATAATAACTACCTTATTCAATCAATGCAAAATATAAATTTTATTGATGCAATTTTTAATGCAAAATATAAATTTTATAGATACATTTTTTTACTAAATATAGCCTTAATCTCAAATTTCGTCAATAGCAGTGTTGGAATAAATATTTACCTATCTCTTATCAAATTACTTTTTTATCTTAATTTACTTTTTCATTGACTGTTTTTAAGTTTTTAACCTTTGCCAAGGTAGAGACTGAGGTGGTCCATTTTACCCCACGCTTTTACAGAGGTTATATAGAGGTAAGCTTTTACAGAGGTTATATAAAAAACTGTTGGATCTAACTTGAAATTAACATCTTATAAAACAATTAAATAACGTATACTTAAAAATTATATTAAGGTCTCATAAACTATACAACAGTGCTCACAACCAAAAAAACTAACAACGAAAGAAAATACTTTTGTAATGAATTTTCAAATATTGCTGTTTATCAACATTTTAAAAAACAGATGATAGTTGGTTATACACCTTTTTCCCTCTACTTTCAAACATAGTTTTAAAATTCTCAACTTTACTTTTTTCTCAGTGGTAGTAGTACCTTTTTACCCGCGGACATCTAAGTATGTGTCTATCTTACATCTCAATATTTCATGCGACAGTTACACCTGCATTGCTTTCATTGCTTCTCTTTGATATCATTATTTCTTAAACTATATTAACAAATAAACTTTCATACTTTTCTATCATAAGATTTTTCTAATTCAAATTAATTTAATAGTATATTTCTCTTGATACTGCACTTCTGTCTTTTTACAGACAGAGATTGAAATAACTTTGCCGCAGAAAATATATTCAAGGACTATAAACTGTATACTATCAGAAACTTTCGTCATTCAAATTCATTTTGTATGAAGTTTTAAGTAATTTATGTTATTTTAAGAAATTAATAATCAACTAGTATTGTTAGTTATCAACTATTATTTTACTTTAGACTTGAGAATAATTTCTATCTTATTATTCTAATATTTCATTATTGTAATCAGTATTAACCCTGTGCCTGCACAAATTATTAATTATTAAATTGAAATTTTTAAAACTGACCTAGCTATAATTTATAACATAAATTTCTTTAATTATTTATGACAATTATTCGAGTCTTATTTGTTAAAATGATGTAAAATTTTATCACTAAATATTGATCATAGTTTTCAGAAGTATACAAAAAATTTCACAAATTTACAAAACAGTATTTTTCCAGAAGACGAGAATGACGTAGGTGCCGGGTTCTGCGCTGTAAAATTAGCCAAACAAGTGTGTTTGGCAGAATAAATAAACGAATTTCGGGAGCCGATAAACAAACGGGCGGCGCTGGTCGGGCGCAAGTCCATCATCGATTAGCGATCGAAAACGGTCAGAAAATAAACATTCTACAATTACCAGACCACGGTTACGTAAATACAAGAACGGCGGAATATATATTCTCACAGCTGCTTCGAAAATCTACTTAAGATTTCCGGCGAAAGTTTGGTCTTGGACATTAAAAGATAGATTTTTGTAAAAAATGTACGTGTAAAATCTGTCCTAAATAATACATATAAGGTGATGGTAATTAGAAGTCTGAAAAGGTTTAAATAACATTTTACTAAATAAGACTCAAATAACAAATTTTGCGTCATATTATGCAAGTCTATTTTACTGAAGAAGAAAATTTTTTTTGTAAATATTAACTAAAAAAATACTTTTTAATTTTTTATTTATGTTTAAGTAGGTACTATTTATGTATAGTTTGTCTATATTTGTTTAAATATAGAAACGAACTAATATTGATTTAAACATATATGTGTAATATGAATTAAGGCATTACAATTAGTTATTTAGTTGACATTTTCATAATGATGCCATATATTTGAATCGAGCCATTTTGAAAGCGTATAAAATTGAAATAGAGAAGGAATTGTAAAAGTTATTATATTAAATAAACAACTAGTGATTTACCATTCTCGGAAATGTTTTGCTAGAGTACTAGAAAGCATTAACCAACAAACAAAGTTAATGTTGAAGATCGCGTCTTGGTTCGAAAATAACTCGAAACATTTTACATTTATCATAAAGAACACTGGGAAATTTGAACTTAAAATCATGAACTGCTAGGAAAATATACGAGTTCTGCGTAGAAATGTTTTATATAGAGAAGCTTGGTACATCATGACCATCGGATTGCTTTCATGGTCATGGATTGTTATTGGCGCGATGCAAATAGTTGAGTGCGGCAGGACGAACACTGACAGACGCGTTTCCAATTATTTCACTATATTTCGTGATTTATGGTTTTCCATAATCATTGTAAATATTACTGCTCAGATATGGATTTCTTACGACTGATGCAACAAAGCCATAATTGAAGTAACGAACCGAAATATACTGACGAAATAATTAACATGCTAAAACAATTTCTAAATATAACTTCATATATACTATTTCCTCCTACTGCTTGCTTGACTTGGTCACATAACTTATCTCCAGGTCAAATAAATACAATAAGATTTCTATATGCTTGTCATATGGATGCGAAATTATCACAATTGAATTAGAAATTATAATGATGAATTATTAAAATTTTTAATATTTATTTACAGGGAGATTTAAAAATATTCAAAAAGATAAGATAAGTAAACTTATTTGAATATTTAGCGGGACCTCAGACTATTTTCATGCCAAAATAAATCTCTTACTCTATACGATTGTACATTCTGGCCTTTTTGTTGAACATGGTGAAATGAAGCGCATGTATTTTATTTGAACAAAATAAATTTGAATTACATCTCATGATATAAAAACGAGCAGAAAATTGGCACAGCTATAAAATTTTAAGATAATATGTTAGGCTATATTTAACTGCATCCCAAGCTTCAAGTATTAATAAAAGAAAATAAAAACGTTTACTGCCCGCAAAATATAATTAGTTAACGCTTGAATCTCTTTAGATAAACAATGCAAAACGTATTTTATTTGAAAATATGCAGAAAGTGCATTTTTTTATGTCGCCAGCAGTTTAAATAATATAGATCAAAAACGTTTACATAAATGAAAATAATGCACATTTCAATGAACAAATGACCATATCCTTACTTCATTCTAAAACGCAATTCAGAAACATTTTAGGTTTAGGTGATAATCAACTTACTAGTATATATTTCGATCCTAATTTATGCAGGTTGCAAAACTGATAGTAGCTATAAAGTACCGCGGAGCACCTGATGATGGTCATAAGGATGACATCGGCTG